GAGGTGTTTGCTCTACTCCTCGCCGTGGTGGTGTGTGGGGGGGTGTTCAATTAATCAACTCTTGGGAGCGGGGTGAAGCGACAACGAGAGCTCCCAAGCAGTTAATGGGGTAAATGGTAAAGAAAAGAAAGGTTCAAAGAAATAAAACACAAGAAAGTATTAGTTAAATTATTCTAATTATCTTGGATTTATTGGTGGTATTCTTTTCTATATTCAACAACAAAATTACCTTTGTAATTTGGGGCGGCGACAGAGGCCTGTTAGTAGATAACGCGTAGACGTTATTCGACAAGTTACTTCTAAGGAGGTTAAACGACCAGTGAACGCTGTGGTTCGTGCAATCACAGAGGATTGCGGTGATCGCTGAGGATCGGTTGTCGTTTACTACTACATTTACATATTCCAATGGGAGAAAAGTATCGAGCAAGGAGAGCAAACCAGCAACAACCACCGCTCGGTGGCATCTGCACCCTACGGTCTCCGCTGAGGGAACTTGCAGAGGAGATGCCCGTGGTGTCAATCAGCAGACGTAATTGACTGAGCTCGGGAAGTTGAGTCAGAACGTATCAAACTTATACAATATGACTGCATGAGACCTTGTATAGTTATGCAATGGATGAAGGAAAAGGATAATATATTAATTAATTATTAGGAAATCGGATTTGAATAGGGTAGCTATTGGCTATAGGCTTGTAGGCTCGGACGGACAATTGAATAGATGGTGTGTGTATTGAGGGCTTTGCTGGCAGGGGGCACCTGTTTAGGGTTCCGGGGACAATGCCCTGCCGACACGAGTTGATAATATTGCTGTATTCGCACATTAGATGTACCAGAATTGAACGGGTTTGCCTACGAAGAAGCCTCTCACTCTCTGAAATTTCAGGAGTATGTTGTTGTAGGACTTTATTGCATCTGTAGCCATTTATGGCTTCGGAGACCGCTAAATAATGCACGGATTTCAGAGCGTTCGCTGATCAACAATCTGTTGACGTCTTGGATGTCATCACTATAGCACCTAAAGTCCTGGCGGTTGTGTCGCGGAGGTGGATCTGCCATCACTGTGTGATGGTTGGGATGGCCAGCAGGAACTGTCTAGTCAACAACACATTATGTTGCTTGACTGACAGCATCCTGGTCTCCCCATAGAGGTGATCAACGCTCGTCATCTGGACACAGCCGGTTGCAATTCGGAGTGCATTATTTTGAGTTGTTTGCAATGATCTCCATTGTGTGTCACTAATGAAAGAAGTCCAGACTGAGACAGCATAGTTCAGGATGGAACGACCTATGGCCTTATATGTCGTTACCAACGTTTCTTTATCCTTACCCAAGTAGGTGGCAGCCAAAGATTTCAGAACTTTATTCCTAGCTTCCACCTTCTGGTTGATGTAATTGGATTGCGAGGAGAAATGAAGGAGTTTATCGAAGACCACCCCAAGGATTTTCGAATTATAGACTGTGGGGATGCGCCTACCTTCAACGGAAATGTCAAATTCTAAATTGACTTCTCGCGTCCAGGAAGTGAAAAGTGGCACAGTAAACTTTGCAGTGAATGTTAACGCCGGACGAAATAATAGTACAGTCAGTCGGCGTACGACATCACTGAAACATATGGTGGAGCAATGGGGAGTTTCGCAAGATACATGTTGAACAAAATGGGAGATAGGACACCGTCCCATTTTGATCATGCGATATTTTGATTTTTGGCTACGAACCTCAACGAAGGCCTTGATATCACTCGGAGGGTGCAATTTGTAATGTCGGTTATCAGCTCGGAATGATCGACCGTATCAATCGCCTTGGGCAGAACTAAAGCTGCCACAATGGTCCGTTTAAGTGGTCATCGCTGATTGAGGCAATTCACAATCTTGGAAGTAATTCCTTGCAAAGCCGTTGTTGTGCTAGAACGAAATGCTGTTTCAGCAACGGGAGCAAAATCTTGGCTACATGTGAAAGAAGAGAAATCGGGCGGTAAGACTCACCATAAGTAGCAGATTTATCAGGTTTTAGAATTAGAATAATCCGGGCAACTTTTCAAATGTCAGGAATTACCAACGGTGACATCGATAACTCGAGAACTTTGGTCAGATGGCCCAGCTCTAGTGCTCCAAGCTTCTTTAACATGAACATGGATATGCCGTCTGGACCAAGGGCTTTGGATGGCATGTATTTGAAGATAATTGCTTCTATCTCGTTGGATGTAAATGATAGGGGCTGCAAATCTCTTTTAAGATTCATGGAACTCCGGATAACTGCTCGCTTTGTCCTGCACTGCGAAGAATTTTATTTCAAATATTTTTTACTGACAACTTTGGAGTAAAAGGTATTCATTTTCAAAATAAAAATTATTTTGATTTCTATATTGCATGAAATTCTCACACATTCATTCTCAAAGTGACATAAAATTACTTCAAATGCTGACATGCATACTCTATGGTGTGTGGGACCTTTATGTGCTTTTTTTTTCAAATAAACAGAATGACTTTTTGCGTTTATTTCTTTTATATTTGACATTAGAAGCCAATCCCTGCAGTGTTGCTTTCCTGGTTATTCACCTCAAGTTGTCCTACCTTGTATTATTGTACACACAAACAATTCAAATTTGGTCTGTTCCAGTATTTTTTTAATAGTAATGCTAGTAAAAGGGAAATATTTCAAAATCGCTGTCTGAGTACAAAACAAATTGAAAAGTTCAGGAACGTAAATATAGTTAATATGCCAAAATTAAATGGAAAATTTTCAAAATCAACATAACGGCCAATCAGAAGTTGGCATTTCCGTTTACTATTTTTATTCGCACAAATTTTTTGAGTAAAAAGTTATGCATTCTCTTAAATTGGGTTCAATGTTTTACCATTTTTGTGGTTTCAGGAACGGTTTTCAAGTAAAAAGTTGCAAAACTTGCAATATTAGTAGATTCTTTTAGGTTCTGGAACGGAACTGTTATTTGAAATTGATAGATGGGTTACAAATTGAACAGGGTTGCCATTATAAATTTATCAAATGAGGCTACCTTGTCGCCGTCGAATGAACCATGAGTTTTACCAGCTATTCTCGGACATCGGCATTGTAAGACGTATTGAGGTCATGGCTAGGTCATGTTGTGGGAAGGGATGAAGATGCCCCAGCCCAAAGGGCATATACAAGCGAACCAGGTGATGGTTCGCGCAGATGGCGAAGAACACGAATAAGATGGAAAGATCAAGCAGAAGATAACATTGCCGAATATGGTCTTTCAAATTGGAAAAACTGCGCAAAAGGCCAACGCGCCTGGAAATCTTTTTTAAGCTCGGCTTATGGAACGGAAGTTCTGTCACAAGTCAGCTAAGTAAGACTGCTTTGTATAGTTATAAACATGGAAAAATAATATAATTAGTGTTCCTTTGAGCTTTTATAATACGTTTACATTTAGCCGGATTTCGTTAACCCAGTGGGTTTCAATTGTCAATTCCTTTGCATATATGTCAAATAAATCCTCATAAAGTAGGTTAATCCAGCAAAAAGTTCTAATGTATATGCCGTTTTACATTTGAAAATGTTTAATATTTATCTATGTATGAACTCATTCTTGACATTTTGTATATTTATATTAAAATGAAATGATATTTTACCGCGTTTGTCTGGAAGTAATTACTTTGTTATCGATGAAAGAAATAGTTCATGTTTTACATTTTCCTACTTGTTTTTGTAAAGAAATCATAACCTTTCATAAGTTTTTTTTAAAGAACAGAAAAACTTGTTTTTTTATTTATTTTATGTTTAGAAGCCACTACCTACAGTGTTGTTTTGTTTATTCGTCTCCAGTTGTCCTAAGTTGTATTTGCTTTGTTCCCGTATTGTAAGAATCTTCTAATTTTGCTACGATAACGATTTTTCCTTTATGATATCGAAACAGACGAAACAGTACGGGAACAGACCAATTATTGTACACACAGACAATTCAAATTGTTATTAGGTATTTGGAAAAATGTTGACATTTTAACATAAATCATACCACTTTTTATTACAGTAAATGACCATACTAATTTTTACAGAAAAACATCGAAATGTTTTCGATTAATATACGAACAAGCAAGAATTTTATATTCTTAAAAATACAATTAATATTCCGTATTTTTTGTATAAATAATTTATCATATATACTTTATAAATTTAAAATCTAATTACATTAAAAATTCCCAAAAATAACTTTTTTCGATTCTTTTCACAATTACCCACAAAAAATCGACATACAATCGATTAATCGATTACCGCCCATTTTAGATCCCTTAACGTTTTATCTTCCATATCGTCTTCTAAACAATTTTTACATCGTGTGCATTACACTACATTCGTAAACATTTGAATTCCTTTTCTTATTGGGCATTCCCTCCCCCTTCCACGTATTCCAATTGTTGATGGAGCGTTTTTAATTTCGGATTGGCCGCAAAGAATTTAAAAACAAAAAGAATTTGCGAAAAAAATGAAATCAGGAAAGAAACTACACAACCAAACAACAACAAAACATAACATAACCAAACCACAAGAGACGGATTGGACGGACGGTCGTTCGGTCGGATTGGTGGCGAGAACAACAACAGAAAAAAATTCATCGTAAAGGGAGAAAAGAAGGTAGAATTCATTCTTTAAAAATAGGTCTTTTAAAAACGTTATGAAACGGCGGACTGATTCAATTGAGCTTTGGGTGATTTTTTCCGTTTAAGAAAAAGAAAAGAACAAAAATTACAGAGCAGTTATTGAAAAGAAGAAGTAATTGAGGAAATACCAACGGCAACGTAATCTCATCTTTTTCGCATTGGCCTTGCCGAGAATATCCTTCCTGCTATTCCTGTCTATCAAAATCAAAGTGCTGTCATCTTCACCGTTACCACTTAAGTTAAACCTTTAATCTGCTGTTGCGTCAATTACTCCCGGCCTATTTGCTCGTTGTTTGTGTGCTGCTAATTAGTTTCTGCCTGTCTGTGTCGTCCTTTATCCTTGGAAGCGTAATTCAAACTCATCATGCTGACTTTGTATTACGTGAGCGCAACCTTTTTGCAGTCATGGCGTATCAATAAGATATGCCAGAAGATTGGCGAACAATTGTCTCAACAGGCCACCATTGCCTTTTATGTTTTGCCTCAAAATCGAGATGATGGTTTCTGTAAGTCAATTGTCGATTTACCGGCAACTCGGTCTTATGTAAAACTAATGTTTATTATCTGTCTGCATTTTTTTCTTTCAGATTCACGCTTGGCCACTTCGGAGCTGTGTCAGAATCGTCAAATAGCCCGAGTTACGGAAATCCTTTGGTTGCACGACAACAATCGTGGCTGTTGCCTTATGCCATTACAATCCATACCCACCTCGGCTTGGATAACATTTCCCGATGCACCCGGTCTGCGACCATTTCATTTCGGCAAATCGCCTGAATCATTGCAGCGTAGCTTAAGTTCACATCGTCATCATCATAATCGAGATGATGGTGGTTTGATACGTCTTTTATTAGAAACGGAAACAACACCATGCTATGAAGATCGTGTGTGGCAACAAGATGTAGTTAGGGTAAGTAAGTATGTATGACTCGGTGTGTGTGTGTATGATTGGGTGCCGTTTTGTTTGCTAGTTTGTTTACATCATGGTTTGGGGTTTTGGCTTGTAAATTTATTTATAACATTTTAGGGGGGTATTGATTGTCCATTAATATGGAGGAATTGTATTTTGTTTTTTTTTTTTTACTGTTATTGTATAAGCGGTTTATCAACGGGATATTATAACAGTTTGTAACAAATTTAAAAAGGAAATTTATCTGATTCAAAAACTGTTTTGACCTAACTTTTAGTTTCGTTTTTATTTCTTATTATTCTAGAGGTAGGCATTTTTAATCTCTTTATGAAGATGTACATTTTTCTTCGGGTAACCGGATAATTCATCGACAACATATCAAAACCTTAAACCTAGATATAAAAAATTAGGAGTTCTAAGGTCCATATTATTTGCAGTTACGTATGGCATAATTGCTGAGAGACTATCATGGATTTGTATAGACTTTTCAAGGACTTCAGGACTTCAAACTCTTTAAATTGATACCCATATTGCCTCAATAAATGTTAAAAATCGTGAGAAAATACATGGAACCCAACGGAACTTTGGAGGCCCATATCTTCGGAAATACTGATTTCCGAAAGAAAAAAAAAGTATACCATTGTAATCAGCGCCCCAAGAACTACATATCAATACAATTTTCAAAATGATCCCCGACGGGGACCCTAAACTAGACTTGTTCCCTAAATCTGAACCGATTTTCAGGAAACTTAACACACATCATTCTAGCCTCAATTCAGTACCCTATCCCTAATATCGTGCAAATCGGAAGATATATAGGGAAATATATATGGGAGCTATATCTAAATCTGAACCGATTTTCACGAAACTTAGCACATATCATTGTAGACTCAATTCAGTACCCTATGCCTAATTTCGTGCAAATGGTAGGATATATAGGGACTTTGGCGAACCATTTACATTGGATCGGACGAAAATATATATGGGAGCTAAATCTAAATCTGAGCCGATTTTCACGGAACTTAACACACATTCTAGTCTCAATTCAGGACGCTATTACAAATATCGTGCAAATCGAAAAAAAAAATTAGAACACCCATTTGGCACCTTTTCCAAAATATTGAGACGTCCTTGGACAATAGAACCAATGAATTATGGCAGGCAAAAGATCAAATTCCGTAAAAATAGTTTTCACCCTTTTAAGAACCCAGGAATACCCAAATGTCGAGGGTCGTTCTTTATATAGAACGTCCATGTCAAAACATGGACCTACATTGGAACATTTTTGAAAAAAATTCACCTTTGAGAACCCCGAATGTTTAAACCAGAACTTTCAAAATACCGAAAATTAGGGGGTGTTATTTTGTATATGGGGACTAATTCAAATCATGGATCTTCATTAGAAAATGTTTTCATCCTCCCTGAATGTCATATTACGACTACTTTGGGGGAGAAATTCCTCTAAAAGTTTCAAAATACTAAATATAGAACGAGGACATTTGTTTTGGGGGTTATATCAAAATATGGAACTACATCGAAAAACTTAAAGGAGGATGTTTTTCGACCTCCAAAAAATTCGGATTAGCAAAGTTGGGGAGAAGCCGGTAAAACCTTCAAAATATCAACGATTCGGAACATGAAGTGGTATCGTTATATGGAGGCTTATCAGAACGTGATTCCGTTATTACATGATCTCAATTCTCATTTTTCGGGATATATAAAATAAAAATTAAGCTCGCTTCGACTTATTCCCTCTAGACGTTCTATGAAATATTCACCTTAAGATCCATAGATGCTTCGAAATTATTTACTCTCTAACTATTTTTTTATTTGTATACTAGTTTTGTTAAAAAATGTCCAAAGTATAACAGTTATATACAACTGTTATACACATGAAAAAAAATGGAAATTAAAAAATGGTGTTAATTATAAATTTCCAAAGTATAAAAAATGGTGTTATTTCCAAAGTATAACAGTTGTATAACAGTTATATACAACTGTAATACACATGAAATAAATTGGAAATTAAAAAAATAGTGTTATTAATAAATTTCCAAAGTATAACAGTTGTATAACAATTTTATAAAACTGTTATACATTTAACTTTAATATTTGTTAATCAAATATATATTTTTTATTCATATTTTTGTTATTTTTTATAAAATATATATATATGTATTTTTTTCATTACAGATTGAAAATTATGGTAAGCTGATTGCCTGGAAAATAGACTCCCACCTTGCGGTGCTCATTGAAACTGATATTGAGCACTTCACCAAATTATTAATAGATACATTTTTACAAAACAATTTATTTATCAATGATCATCTGCCTCTATTAAGGATTGAGTGTAAGCACCATAATACAATTTCAATCTAAATAGATCTTAGACTGAATATTCAATTCTTTTATCTACTTTTATATATTTTATGATTTTTATTTACCCCCCATCCTCCACCCTGTATAGCTGTACGCAATGATGGTGCTCCCCAGCCTTATTCTCTGCTGTGTAGTCATTTACGTAAACCCGCCCGCAGCGTCGAAGAATGTAAACCCGAAGAATGGTCGAAACATTTAGAGGATTTGCGAGCTGTTAGCGTTCTGGCCAATCAGGCCATTGAATATACTTCGAGTAAAAATAAAACGGAACATAAATCACCCGGTTCGTCGAGTAGTGCTATTAAACCAGATCTGATACCTCAGGAGAAGCGTAGTGGCGAAAGTGGAGTTCGGAGTAAGGAGCAACAAAAAGAATCACCCAAAAAATTGGAAAATGTGGAAAAATCGAAAAAAGAAATGTCACAAAAGCAAGTTCCACCAGGGGATGGTGGTGTTGTCAAGCCCTCCAGTACTGGTGCTGCAGCGGATAAGGAAAATCTATCAACCAAAGGCTCATCAGAGAAATTTATTAACAATGAAAAAGTGTCTCAAAATGAAGCTAAGCCAAAAGTTGCTACTCCACCACAGGCAAGTAGAAAATCGACTACTGAGCCAGTGGAAAAACAACAACAAGCCAGTCCCAGTAAGTTAAGGGCCAAACCAACGGAGATTAAGAAACCCGGTGTGCCAGATGCAGGGCGCTTTAAAACAGCCAAGGTAAAATAAATATTAAAAAAAAAAACACAGCACTTCCATGACTCGAATCATGGTCCACTCTCTCCGCAAGTGCTTTGGCCTAAAGAAAATTGAACTTATGAATGTTCAAGTTATGGAAGTTAGACTGTACCCAATTCAGTTATTGTGAATAAAAAAAAAACATTTTTATTTCAGACTTCCTCGGAGGCCTTAATTGAAGCCGAAACTAAAAAGTCAAGTGAATTAGAGAAAATTGCCGCCTCTAAAGCTGCAGAACGTTCTCAATCTAAATCACCTTCAAAACCAGTCGAAGAGAATACATCAAAGGAATCTCCAAAGAGTCGTCGTAACAAGGATTCTCCTAAAAAAACAATTGAAAAATCTTCCGAACTTTCCAAGGATGGAATGTCATCAACACCCAAAAAGTCTGAAACTTCAAAGACAACGGCTTCACTGCCCAAAATAGATATTGCCAAAACAACAGCAACTGCAACCGACCAAGAAACCACAAAATCGATAAACACAATTGCTGCTGCTTCAGCTGTGCCATCATCGGTGACGGCAGCAGCAATTGCCTCGGCTTCACCCATTAAGGACAATGCCAAAAGACCCAGTTTAAAACGACACAAGGACAGCATCAAAGAGTGTAAACCCTTAAATGTTTTGGTTTATGCCGAAACGGCAACGGCTAGAGAAAGTGCCATCAATATTTTAAAGGAAATTTTAGCCGAAAACACGTGAGTTGACGTCAATTGGTGGCTTTTTTTATTACAAACAATTATCCAATAGTGCCTCTCCCCCCAAATGCATAATAAAATTTATGACATTTCCATTTTCTTTTTCTTTTTTTTTATTTCCAGTTACACTATTTACCCCATGACACAACAGCAAGTCGAACAGAAACATTGGCTCAACAGTACCGCTTTATTGGTGGTATGCGGTTCAGTGGCCAATGCAATGGGCGAATTGTTTGTTGATTATTTTTTGCATGGTGGCAAAGTGCTGTCATTGTGTTCGGATGTCTTGCACTTTATATTGCCAACATATCGTACAGCTGAGGTAATTCTATTATTATAGATATATGACAATTATTCTATAAATAGATTCCCGTTCCCATGGAACAAAGAAAAATAATCCATTATAATAATAACCATGCATATTATGCTATAGTTAGCTTAGCTATGTTTTGTGTTCACATGTTTCTCAAAACTTTTACAAATGCCCAATATTCGAAATAACATAGTTCTTTTCATTTTGTTCCCCCCTCTCTAGGTTCGCGAACATGAATTAGTACAATTCTCCTATGACAAATGGCAAAAGGTCAAAATGATGCATCACATATTCTGTTATCAGCCATCGCCGGTTAAGAAAAACTTTTCCACTGACAGCGATGATTCAGCATATGGTACAAATCGTAAACCGTAAGTATGCATACTTTTTATGGGTAGTGTACAATTGTTTTATTATGTATATATTTAGAAACAAAAATCCTCAAATGATAACACTGTTATGCAAATGAGAACCGAGCGTATAATTTTGTTCATTAAAATCAAGAGGTTATGAGTAATTATTAGTTTTTATTAAATTTTAGGGCATTCTTATATTTTTGGAGTAATATTAAATCTATAGCTAAAGGATTTTAAATCAGATGGTATGAATACAATTTAAAGTTGTTTTATTTTTTGACAAGAATTAAGGCGGATTTATTAAGACCTTTTCAGATTTATATACGAATATTTCTTGTCCACCAAGACTTTTAATGTGGCGACTTTTAAAACAATTATTATAAATAAACTAAAAGGTTATTTTTTCAGGCGAAATATAATCGGATTTTGAATATTTTGAAGCACCGGATTCCTGTCATTATTACACTTATTTTAGCTTTGCTCATGTTCAACAGTGAGTGCGTTCTTTTGGTAGACAGAGTCGGCCAAATGGATCTTGACACGTTGCACTTAAGTTCGTTGTGCCAATGTTCATAGGCTCTTTCGTCGAAGAACGCCTCAAAGTTCCGGTAAAGATGACATATGGGTGGTTTGATTGAGTCATCAATTGCTAGATCTGTGGATTGAGATCCTCGTCTAGCTAGTTCGTCTGCTCTTTCATTACCCAAGATGTCACGGTGTCCCGGTACCCAACACAGCCGATAGCTGTAAGCAAGTTCTTCCAAAGCTGTTCTACACTTGAGGACGGCACGTTTAAATTTAATCGGATTTCGTTAACCCAGTGGGTTTCAATTGTCAATTCCTTTGTATATATGTCAAATAAATCCTCATTAAGTAGGTTAACCCGGTAAAAAGTTCTAATGTATATGCCGTTTAACAAGATTTGATGGCTTTAAGAGCCGCTTGACTATCCACGAAGATAGTCACCGGTTCAACGACCTCTGCATCTAGACTTTTTATCAATTCCGCTTCCTTCCAAATCGCGAAGATTTCAGCTTGGAAAACACTACAGTTGCAATCCAGCTTGTGGGTAAACTCAAAGCCTTGCATCTCAATGTAGACGCCTGCCTCTGTACCTTCTTCCATCTTGGATCCGTCTGTATAGAAGGCCAGACCGTCTAGAGGAGGGTTACTTCGGTTCCAGTCGTTTCTACTAGGAATAACGACATATACATCGTCAAATCTCAGGAATGATGATATATAGTCGCTTAGCTTAACGCGTTGGTCCAATGTCATAACTGGCTCGTTCAAGATACGACCATGCCCAAAGGTACAACTGGACCAGAGGTTTTGTTCATGCAGTCTTAGGGCTCTACGCACGGCCTGACACTTAATGCTGAGGCCTAGAGGTTTAAAATTCAGCATTGCGTTCAGAGCTGATAGTGGCGTACTCCTCCTGGCTCCTGTAACTAAAATCGAGGCGGCTCTTTGTACCAGCGATGTAAAGTAACTACCTTTCCCAAGCCTAAATCAAGTAGGAAGGTGGGAACTATTAATCCACTCCTTCCGATACCTCCCCCACAAAGGATCAAAATTTTCAATATTTATAAATACAATATCAGGCGAATGGAATGTCCGATTTGAACCAAATTTTGCACAATTTATTATCTGAAAGAAGCCTAGATCAAGTCCGAAGTTGGGACCCGTCTGCCCTCTCCTCTGACACCTCCTCCAAAAAGGGTCAATATTATATAATCTTGTAAATTTTATTTAAAAACCCGAATTGATCAACGTAACATTTTAAAGATCTTTGATAAAAACGTATACCTTATATAAACGAATAATAAAACCTGTGTGGAACTCCGAACACGTCCGCAAACCATAGGGTGAGGGCATGGTACAATAATAAAAGGTAACAGCAAGTGTTGTTGTACAACAAACGATACAACAACCACATGGAAATTTGTTGTTTAAAGTTATCTAGTGTCATCGTCTTTTGACAGAAAATATAAACAAACAAACAAATTATCAACAAATTATATTTACTTCGAAAATGAACTATTTCGAAACCTTAAAATAAAATTTGAAAAACATGAATGAAAATCTATGAAATTTATATTTCTATCGCTTCCACATTTTTCCTATAATTAAGCCATTGCCACTTATATGTGCAACACGTATGAAAATGCGGGGAGTTGCGAGTTATTCCATTATGAAAGATTTGCTTACTAAAACTTTCCCAGAAGGCAGATTGAGTAAATTGAATACGGGAGCACATTTAATAAAGAACAATTTCAAATTGTATGCGTTCCCAATTTTCCTGTTGGGTGATTTTTAAAAACATAATTTGTCAAATTCATATTGACACTAGTATTACGTTGGAATCAAATCAGCTGGTGAGGGTATATATCAGAATATTTTCATACAAAACAGTTGAATATTTTCTTACAGAAGATTTTCTTATTGAAGGGCAGACGATTTTCTTATTATAGAGCAGAAGATCTTATTATCTTTTTACAGAAGACCAGAAAGTATTTTTCTTAAAATTAAGTAGAAGGTATTGCTCTGGACGCGTCCATGAACATTTAGCTGAAGTCCCTGTATTCTACGTTACATTTGCAGAACAGTGTTATTTTGAAAAAAATACTAATATTAAAAAAATTTAATAACTTCAATATTGGTTTGTATTTGATACTAACAAAACAAAATAAAAAATCAGAGACACTTTTCTTCAATTCATGTAAATAATTTGTTAAATGTTTAGTTTCCTAACCAAAAAATGAGATGAGATTATTTTTTTCCAAATTAAAAAAAAAAAAAAAACAAAAAATTAACCCACAATAAACACCAAACCCAGAACCCCAACTACTTTGGCAAACAGAACACCTTTACAAAAAACTATTTGATTTATTTTATATTTAATTTTTTTCTCTGCTGCTTCTTCATACATGCACAGCATGAACGGTTTAAGTTGTTGCTTTTTAATGGTAATTTTTTTTTTTCGTTAATTTATTTTCTTTACTTTCACAAACTGAAAGAGGACAAACGTCTCTTCTCTCAATGGCTTGCTAAAAATGAAATTCTGTTTCATTCCTTATTAATATTTATTATTATACAAACAAATTTCTTGTTTTATTAATTCACTTACTATTTTTATTATAAATTACTTATTATAGAGCATATTTCTGTTGTAAAGAACATTTCTTAAATCTCTGATTTTCTTTGGGTTTTCTTTTTTTTACTACTTTTTTGTCATTTTTCCCAAATATAAAAAACAAACGAATTAATTAAAACAAAAAACCATTTTGTCATCATAATGCCATACCAATTTTAAAAATGCCCATACTTCAAATTTGTTGTCTGATTCTAATTCCAATAACAAAACAAAAACTAAAACTTTATACTACTACTAACTACAAATCAACCAACCTAACCTAACCTCAAAAAACCAATAAACCAACCAACAACATACAATTTTCAATTAAAACATACATTGCTTGCTCCTCGTTCTGCTGGCTGTATGTGTTCTTCTTCTTCCGTTTTTTCCAAACTCTAAATGTATGTACGAAAAAAAAAACAATATTTGTAAACAATTTTTTTTTTTCACGAAAAACAAACCAAATTTTTTTGCTCAAAATTTATTATGTATTATGTATGTATTTACGTGGTGCTTGTATGTATGTGTGTGTGCAAAATGGGGATTTTTTGTTTGATCCAAATATGTGTGTCGAAAAAAAAATCAAATTGAAATCCTCCACACCATACAATGCACGACAACAAAAAATTTAGAGCTCTAGTGTGTCCACCAAGGTCCATTGAACTCAAGGATTTGAAGGGTCATCTACACCAATTGGATGTCAATGTTTTGGGTACCGAAGAAACATGGAATACGCCTAGTTTATTATTGGCCAAGAATCAGAAAAGCGGTGGATCTGCTGTATTTTCACAGGTAAGTTTTATATTATTTTATTATTATTTGAAAATTTGTATTGATAATTCCTTACCATATAGAAAGCAGAAAGGTCTTCTTATATTAGACTAGAATGGTCTTCTATAGATGACCAGAAGGCCTTTTTACAGAACACAAGAAATATCTTCTTATAAAAGAGTAGAAGTTCTACCTATGAAAGAACATGATGTTTCCTTATGGAGGACCAGAATGTCTTATTTCTATAGAATAGCAGAACATCTTCTTCATTAAAGAAGATCAAAAGACCTTCTTCATATAAGAGTTGAAAGTCTCTTTGGAATAACTGAAAGTATTCTTTTTCAGAGAAGAGCAGAATGTTTTCTTCTATAGAGAAAGAGCAGAAGTCTACCTATGAAAGTCCATGATGTTTCCAGAATGACTTCTTGTAGAAGAGCAAAATGAATTGTTCCTACAGAATAGCAGAATGTGTTCTTCTTTATAGAAGAACAGAAGAAATTCAGAAGCAGATTGGGTTGTTTCATAAAAGAGCTGAAGGTCTTTTGCTTCTTCACAGAAAAGCTCAAGGTCTTCTTTTCTTCTTTTTAGAAGAGCTGAAGTTCTTCTTCATTACAGACGGTCTTCATAGAATAGCTGACGTTTTCCCACTGAATTAGTTGTAATTTGATATTATGGATTCTTCCTACCAAAAAAAATCAGTATTGGTAAACTTTTGGGGATATCCTCTATATTAAAATACCCCTCGAACTTCGGATTTGTTTGATACACATTTAATCTGAATTACAGACAATTCATAATGAAGTTTTGTATAGATCCACTTTTAGTCTCCATATAATTGTACTCCCGATTTCGGTATTTTGAGAATTTGTAATTTGTTTTCCGACCCGTATTAGCTGTAATTTTATATTTTGAGTCTTCGAAAAATTGTTTAAAAATTCCAGAGCCTTGAAAAAAATATTTAAAAGAATCCAGGCCTATTATAGAGCCTTGAAAACAAATATTTAAAAAATCCAGGCCTATTACAGAGCCACGAACAAAATTTTTTAAAAAATCTACGCCTAGCATTTAGGTGCTTCCCGTAGTGTTCTTATAATTGAATTCTGGCGACCCTCCTCTGGTGAACGGTATTGATTTCAAAGAAACCCGATCGATAAGACTTACCGCATTTTAAAGGCGAACTTAGGAGGGTTCAACCATCTCACTTCCTTAACTGTTGGCAATGACGGCATGAGCGATATTTTTTTTTTTCACTACACAAAATTTGTTTCCATTTCAATTTTTTTTTATTTCTTTCAGGTCCATTTGGAAATAAATCCCAGTGAATTTGAATCGGATGAATCAAAATATGCCATACTAAAAGCCAACGATAAAATACGCCATGAAATATTTTCCGATTTACTTCACAATCATTTAAGTTTAAATGTGAAAACGGAAAAGGCTGGTGCCGCTGATGTTGCATCCGGACCAAAATGTGTATTCAAAAAAGCCTACTTTTTGGGCAAGCACGAGGTAAGTAACGGCAGTCGAATTTCCATAACTGGAAGCACCATTATCGCAAAACTTTATTTTTCTTCATAGTAATTGAGGTCATTATTCCACAACTCGAAAAAAATCTGAATTAGGGGATCTATAAATTATGGACTACTTAAACAACTCGATTTCACCAACAAAAAACGTAACCCTCAATTTGAAATGGAAGTTCGATTTAATAAAGCTATTATTTTGAAATTTAGAATTATAGTTTAAAACAAAATATTATAGTTCTATATTTCAAAATAATAGCTTTATTTATTCTGAATTTATTAAAACAAAACCTTCTCCTGTAAAATTTCAAATTGAGGGTTACTTTTTTGGCGAATGTGGCTCGTTATGGAAGTTCGACTGTATTTATATTATAATATTTGAAATATGTAACCCAAACAAATTCCCCCTTTTTCCCTTCCCTAGGCTAAATTTGAATTACTGGGAAAGTTGAAGGATAAATGCGGCAACGATAATGCAATAACCACACCAAATTTAATGATGAAATTTTGCGGTCCAGATGATAAACTGCCAAATGTTAATTCCAATATACTTCCCATACTTATACATTCCTGTCCAGAGGATTTTTCCACTGTTGAATATTTTGATGTAAGTACCTTTAAAATTGATATTTTTTTCGAATTTTCCAAGCCTCACGTTCCCAGCCCGACAGACCGAGATCATATAATTAAATTCGTTTTTTTTTTATTTCGTCCAGAATCTCAAGACCCTTTATGTGGGTCGTTTAGTTATATATGCACCAGTTGTTAGCAGTTCCCAGCATGTTATTACCGATCTGGAATTGAGTAATGGTATTGCGGTTATTCCGCGACAACAAACATCCGGTGTGGGTCGCAGTAATAATCAGGTGATTTATATTTTTAATGATGACTACTATGTTGTTTTTATTTTAATATTCCAAAATTGTATTTTATTGGAAACTTATTTTATGAAAACAAAACAACTGGAATTTAATTTCTTACCTTTTTTCATTTCAGTGGTTAAGTCCTTTAGGCTGTGCCATGTTTTCCATACAATTGCATATATCTTTGGACAGTCCATTGGGCAGACGTTTACCCTTGCTGCAGCATATTATTGGTGCCGCCATGGTTAATGTTTTGAAAGGTCACGAACAATATAAGGTAAGTGATTATATCTTTTTAGGAAATAAAACCAAATATCGTTAATCAAAAAAGTCGTGAAGTCGCGACCGGTTGAAATTATTTAACCCTCCACCACAGGTATATTAACACTTCACTCTAATAAGATTTTATATAATACACTGCAATGAAGGATTTTGGAACATTTAAATCTAGAAAAATTTAAATATAATGCAACAATATGACTCAGGCAGATTAAATCATTAATATATATTCGAATGGTTCGAACAAAATATTCGAATGGTTCGAACAAAATATTCCTAAATAATTTCAAGCTTATGCCATGGATAGGTTAAAAATTCTAAATTCTCCTTATCGGCGACCAGTGACTTGAGAACTTTGTTCCTACTTCTCATGTTAAATAAAACCAAATATCGTTAATCAAAAAAGTCGTGAAGTCGCGGCCGGTTGAAATTATTTAACCCTCCACCACAGGTATATTAACACTTCACTCTAAAAAGATTTTATATACTACACTGTAATGAAGGATTTTGGAACATATATATATATATATATATACAAGATCAGCTATGCAGATGTTATCCTCTCACATTTATAATCAATAACTATACCCGACGTCATCATCCGCACTCATTATGTCATCTATGCCGTTGAATAGTTCCGAAGAAATCACGGGTCTTCATCCTACCTTTGGCGCATCCACTAGCAGCTGCCCAATTGTTACAGCCATGGATATCGGCTTTGGCAATTCGACAGAGGGTGGTTGGGTCTCTCCTTCGGGCCGACTTCGACAGGTGTCTGGGACGTCTCAGTACTCAGTTTACACTTGGGGGTACTGAGGGCTTAGAAATCTCAGGCATCAGCTTCCTAGGTGTAATAGAACCTCCGACAGGTTTCTCCTTCTTTGAAGGGACTACCGTGGTAGTCTTCGTACTGGGTCGTGGGATCCTTTCAATCAAGAAGTCCCTCACAATATAATTCGGATAGTTCCTGGAGAACTTCCGGATGAATTTGAGGTTCCTCTTGATTAAAAGGAACAGCTTTCCCGTGATGGAGTTGCTGTCCAGTCCAATGAATCGGTTGGAGTACATCTTCTTGACAGCGATTCATCCATCTTATCGACGGAAGTCTCATGAGTACCAGTATCCGCTTCACCAGCCAACGGACTTGTAATCTCGCGACATCACTACAGGCCGTGTAGATTGAGTGCGGATCCTCAACCTCGCCAGGGTTTACATCCCTACTAATCATCTGAGAGGACTCACCTTGCTTCGGGGGAGACGCCAGGATCGCTTCCGTGTTTGTCACCGTAGTGCTAATCACTGTAGTTTCTATCATGTCTTCCTCGTCTGACAAGGGTGAGTCATCCCAGAGCAGATTCGGGATGCTCTCCTGACTCCCCCTGAACCCGCTGATTGTCCGCGACTGTCAGATTAAAAAAGTGTGATATTTTAATCTGAAATTGAAAAGTACTCTTTGATATTATCCACATTGACATGCCTGACATTTCTTCAAAAAATATCCTTTGAAAATCATAGCTTGTGGGCTCAATAAAAAACACGAAGCATATAAATCTTCTAGAGGTGAAATGGGACATGGCCTTTGAAACAAATTCTTGGTTCTTGAAAAAATATTATATTTAAAAAAAAACTGACAAGGCCTTAAGAAATATTCTTTAGAAAATCAAGTATTATAGCTTGGATTGTTCTTATAAGAAATTTAAAAATTCAAGCATGGTCTTTAAAAGATCGATTTTTATAAACATGTCTACGCCTATTTAAGACATCCAATGTCGTTTTGAGATAATTCCGCTTTACTTATTTCAATATATATCGTAATTCCAAATAATCTTAATATTCAAATTCCTAAATAAATGGTTCTTCCATTATTCGCCTCCCTCATTCGAAATAAATTAAACTCTTCATCATTTTTCTTTTGTTATGGTGTAATGTCATATAATTTACTTTATTTTATTTTGCTTTATTTTTATATATGTAGACTTTTGTAATTATGTTTTTTTTTGTTTTGTTTTTGCTTACATTATTTATAATGTAATAAATATATAGAGTTTCACAATGTGTTGCTTGTTTTTTTAAGAGGTTGTTTTGTTTGCAGTTGTTTACGGTAATTTATATTTTATTTTGCTTGTCTTTTAGCTTAATAATAATTACATAGTTTTTATTTGTTATCTTTGTATTTTTACTCTTAAAGCATAGATGGTTTTAAATATTTCTTTTTATTATTATTATTACTCATATATTATGGGTTCTGTTTCCGTTTGTTGCTGTTCATTTTTTATGTCTGCTCTAATTTTAGTTTCTTATTTTCTTTTTAAGTTTCTAACTCAATAAATATTTACAATCAGTGTACTTTTTTCAATATATATTTTTTGTTATAAATAATGTGTGTTTTTATTTGTTTTTGCTAAAAGTAAAGGATGTGTAGTGTTGTTTCATTTTCTGTTTATTATTTTTGCATGCAATTTCTAGAAAAGAGTAGGGGGGAGGAATGCCTTTTTGTTTTGGAAAAAGTCCTTTTCTTGTTTTGAGTGTGTGTGTGATTTGTTTTTTATTATTATTTTCCTTTTTTCTCAATAATTTATTTTTTTATAAATATATTTACATTTATTTATATATTAAATTTAGTTTTTGTTGCCATTGTTGTTGTTGTTCTTGGTTGGTTGTAAAAGTAAAATCTAACTCACTCACTCATTCCTCACTTCATCCATCGCTGCATGGCTGGCTGGCTTAAAATATGGCCTCAGCTGATCTAGATAACTGTATGGGATGTGAGGGTGACCGTGCCAAACGTTTTTTCGGCAGCCGCTCAAACAATGTCAGCAACTTGGGGAAATCAGGTCGATCATCGACAGTGTAATGCCAGCACAACATTAAAATATCCTTCACGTCACGTGATGTCTGCAGATTGGCCAATGTCTGTTTCATGCCCCGGCCCACCTGCCATATTATCGATTCCGGTGGCTGCGACTTAAATGGAAATTCTCCACACAACAATTCATACCACACCGTCCCGAATGAATAGACATCGGAGGCGGCGGAAAATGGTAGTATCTCACCGGTCGGTTTGCAGGGCATAAGACAACGCATCAGTTCGGGTGCCAAATAGCACAGCCAACCCAGTGGCACACCCAGACCTTTATCACAGTACAGTAGCTTTGTTGAACTAAACAAACCAAAATCGGTTATAATGACTTTGCCATTCTCCAGGAAGATGTTCTTCGTACGCAGATCCTTGTGTATGATGCCGCGGGCATGCAAATAACCCATCCCCTGGGTAATTTGTTGGGCAATCAGTGTCGTCTTGTTGATAACAAATTTCTCACGACGTGCATGTATGTGGGTGTACAGCGTGTTGCCCTTGCACAGCGACGTGACAATAGCCAAATATGGCGGATTCATACAAGCACCCATAAATAGCACCAAATTTTCATGTCTTGTCTTTTTGAAATTGGCCACCTCGGCCTTAAATACCTCCAACATTTGCTCATCGGCCAAGTAGTCCTCTTTGAGGAGTTTCACGGCCACAGAACCATGCCACATGGCCCGATGTACCGTGCCAAAGCGACCTTGACCAATTTTCTCCAACATTTTCAAATCGCCATAGGGGATATCCCATTCCTTGAGCGACAGCGAATTTTGTCTTGGCCAGTTGCCCGAGTCACCATCCTCCGTTGAATCTAAGCGGACGGGTGTACGATCCGAATCTGTTGAGGCTGATGTACTGCCCGATAACGACACCGTCTTGTCACTGTCATTTGATTTGTGGGTATCGGATAGTTCGGTGAAATTGCCACGCTTATCCACACCAGCGGAACTAAGTTTACGTTGGAAGAAGGTTGCAGGTCCTGCATTGACAATGTTATTGGACGACGCAATGTTGTTATGATGTGATGAGGACGTTGTTGTTGTCGTTGACGTTCCACCCGATGACGACGAATTGGCCTGCATGCTGCCACCAGTTCCATTATTGCCACTGTTATTCGAGGACGAAATCAATGCCTCATGACTGTTGTTACGTGAACGCTGGTGCTGCTGACTGCCATCCATGCTATTGTATTCATGATGCGGTGAACAGGTATTTGCATTTTGAGCTGAGAGAATGGTTTCGGTTGTGGTGGCGCCACCAGCCGAACTGTTACAATTGGAGGTAATGGTAACATCAGGAAAATTAAATTGACTGGCATTTTTATGCGACGACGGTGTGGACAGCATATTGGAGCTGGTACTCGAACCACCAGCCGATGAGCTCATTATTGTGGTGGCCTGCATATCACCCGAAGAGTGATGATGTTGCTGATTGAATAATGCAGGACTTGAAGGTGTAGAACTGGTGCAACTGGAACCAGGGGAACTGCTGTCGGCATGCATACCAACACCACCACCGCCAATGAATCCAGAACCTGTGCTTACGTTCGAACCATGTTTTTGATGTCGTCCGGCACCACCACCGCCTGCCGCACGTGGCTTACGCTGCTTACCCAAACTACCATGACTTTGATTGGGCGATTGTGTTTGCAGGGTATGTGTCAGCTGATTGTGATAACCAGCCGCCACTTGATCCTTAATGGCATTTTTAAATTCATCAATAAATTCTGGTGGCAAACAACACGACGGTGGTACATCGGGTTCACACACCTTATGGCAACGATATTTACACTCCTTGCATTTGCGTCCAATAAACATGGGCTTCAGGCATAGATCGCATGTGGCCACCTTCACCACCGTATTAAAACGATGGGCAATGTTGTGACTCATGCTCAGGTTGACAATGGGTGTACACGGCGACAGAGGGACTTGTAGGCTATTGTTGTTGCTACTGTGATTGGATTCCACAAATATGTCCGAACTGGCAGATGAATGACTATCGGGACTGGGGTCAGTGTTGAGTCTCGATCGGGTTGCTGTTGTTGTGTTGCTGCTGGTGGTGGTATTGTTGCCGCTACTACCATAACCTCCGGTATTATATTTCAAAGTACCACTATTGTTGGCCATTGTGGGGGA